TTCTCCAGTCTATTCAACATGTCTCGTGGCCTCTCAATCAGGAAACAAATTGAAACCCCAATCATCTCTTAAACCTAAGTACCTACAAAGTCCATGGCTTGGCATTAGTCTTTATCCTCGATCGTCAAATCCCAACTTGACTTCCAAAATCGCCGCCTGATCCCTTCCACCATAGTGTTTAACCTCCCAAGTCTGATGATCATGTTGTTTCCGTGGATGCTCAAGGCCTGAGACGCCAACTTTGTCAAGGTTGATCAAATCCCAAATCGAGTTTGATTTCATCCAGGTAAGTTTTGCTCTTTTTTTCCCCCTTAACTATTTCAATTTATTACATTTTATTGATTTCTTACCCAGCTTCCATCGTAGGGTTGGTTTTGATGTTCTCTGGATTTATGTTATGTTATGTTGTTTTAACTTTAGTATAATGTTGATTTGTTCAACTCATCTTTTCTTTTGGTACATTTAAACAATGCTCGTGTATCTCCCTTGGTCATCTACTTTTTCCTATTTGGGGAATGCATTTCACTATTTACTGTCTACCATATTTCCAAAATTTTTTGTTTGCTGCATATCAATTAAACTATTGGTTTGCCTATTCTGTTATCAAAAGCCTCAGTTAAGACGTCACTTTTGTCTTATATTTCCAATGCATTGGAAATTTACATTCACTTGTTGATTTCAAATTCTGCCAATTTTATTTTCCCAATTCTTCATCATAATCTATCTAATAAATATTGGTCAAGATATTGTGTTTTCAAAATGATTATTCTTGAGAATAAGCTACAAGTTTTAACAAATTCTTTTGCAGTTGTTTATCTTTTCGAATCTCTTACATCTTTATCATCCTTTCTCACTTGAAATTGGATGTGTTAATTCAAATGGTTTAGGTTTGTTTTCATTGAAAAGATTGAAGATGTAATTCTCTGTGCAGAGTTGTTAGCACCAACTGCCCTGGAATTTGAAGAAGCTAGACAAATCAAATAAGAGGAAATGATTTGTGTCTATAATTTATGGGTTGATCCTGCTAAATCCAATGAAATTCATATCAAGTTAGTTGGTAGTGCCAAAGTGGTTGATGCTTTCAAGGACCTAAAATACAAGGTATTTATTTATTTTATTTTTATTTTTTTGAGATTAGTTTCAGTTAAACTTTCTTATAACATATGCTAATTTTATTTCATAGAAACGAGCACATGGAGTCTTGACCTGTATTGGGTTTGTAGGCTAGAGTAGCATGACAAAGGTTTGACCTATAGCTTTTAGGGCATAGCATCATTTGCTAAGATAATTGAGATTTTAGAAAGGTTTAGTGTTCTTGGGTTTAGTTAGATGATACCCACATGAATAGTTGTATTTACATACCACCTTTGTTTTAATTTATTAGAATCTAAATATACTTCTAAATGCATATTAGTTGTACCATTATAATATTCAATTCATAACAAAGTTAGAGATAAAGGGATTCTTCAGTATGATTCAGTTCATTAGTCTTGATTGAGTTTATATGGAAAATTAGGAGCTTTGCCTATTGAATCTGGTTAGTTTATAACAAAATG